TTCCGTAATTAACTTGCTAGGTAGCTGATCACTTCATTTTACTGACATGCTTCCTTGGAGAAGCTGTCTTTAGTGCACTGCTCAAAATGACTTTCTGACTTTTGTTTTTCTAAAAAAAAAATCATTTTAGCAATAACAATATGCTACAAACCTACATTCCAATCAGCAATTCTCCATTGAAACCGTCGGTCCTTAGGCACTGCCTTCTTTTGTGATGTGGGATATTGTGACAGTAACTGTGTTCAGTCTAGTAGTTTGTTGTAATTTTATTTAGAATTGACCTGAGAACACAAATCCTGATCTATCAGGATCATTGACTTTGGTAACTTTGTAAATCCATTTCTTCAAAAATAAGGCCAATTACCGCCCATGAGCCTTGGCATGTAAATTGACTTTTACATTCTATGTTTAATATCTAAATCTCAGCTGATTAGGTACACATACGAATGGGATCGCTGTACATTTGAGGTATTAGGAATGATGTTGGTAAATATGACTGGGTCTATGTACTATGCAAACAACACAAATAAATCAATGGATAGAGTGTCTTGTAGCCCAGAGGTAGTACACCTACTCTGGAGTATTGTTATAGTTTGTCCAGAGAGATCATAAATGTAGTTTCAATACAATTAAATCTCTACGTATATAGGAACACGGGTGAATATGATCCTTTAGAATTGATCAAGATCATACTGCCTTTTCCTGTTGTTATTTTAAATATACAGTCAGTCAGATATGTATATTACAGTGTGTTGGATGAACATGTTTAAGCCTTCTTTGTTTGACATGACTGTTACTGGATGAGTAATCCAGAACCTGGATGAAAGATCTGGAGTCATAAGTTTAAGTTCTGCTACAGCAGCTAGAGAATTTAAATTCAGTTAGAAAATAAACCTGGGACTAAAAGTTATTTTTTGTTAAGGTAGGACAGCTCGGTGGCACAGTGTTTAGCACTGCTGCCTCGCAGTGCCAAGGACCTGGGTTCAGTTCCAGCCTTGGATGATATTCAGTGTGGAATTTACACATTCTCCCTGTGTCTGTGTGGGTTTCCTCCAGGTAATCCCGTGTCCTCCCACAGTCCAAAGACGTACAGGTTAGATGGATTGGCCATCATAAATGTATTAACTGTGGTAAAATGCGGTGTAGTGGGATAGAGTAGGATGCTCCTTGGAATGTTGGTGCAGACACAATGGGCTGAGTGGCCCTTTTCTTCACTGTAGGGATTCTATAATTCTATGATCATGAAACTAGTGGATTGCCAGAGATATCTGTCCACTCAAGCCCTTCACAGAAGGAAATCTGCCACCCTGTTCATTGGATAAACATATGGATGATAATGGAATCGTGTAGGTTAGATGGGCTTCAGATTGGTTTCACAGGTCGGCGCAACATCGAGGGCCGAAGGGCCTGTACTGCGCTGTAATGTTCTATGTTCTATGTTCTGACCCAGTCTGTGCTACAGCAGTGTTGATTTTTAACTGTTTTCTGGAATGGCTTAGGAAGCTGTTCACTTTTCTTCAATGAAGCAGCTCGCCATCTGTTCTGTAAGGCCAGTTGGGGTGGATAATAAATTAACATTGAACAAAGTAATGAAAAAAAATTGTGTGTTTTGGAAAATTAGGAACAATGCCCAGTGATGGTACGATGTTATCATTGTTTGAAAATGTAGGGTGAAGGCAGGCTTTTCTGAGGCTGTGCAGAAACAACTTTGAGGACAATGGAATCAATGATCATTACGAAATCTTTACTGTAACGCCGTCACTCATCTTTCCTCCAGAACAACAGACAATTCCATCTCTTTGGCTATCCCTGTGCAGTCATTTTGAAAGCTGCAGATAATGTAAAGGAGATACATGTTCAAAACTTAAGTTCAAGTTGTGAAATGCAAGAGTGATGATAATGAGAATTGAAAAAGGCAGTATTTGAAGAGGCTTAATTTTCAATGTAGTTTGAATTTCCCAAAGTAGCATTCAGAGTCACTTTATTTTTGATAAAGTGAATTAGGAATACAGTCTTTCATGCTGGCCGTGTATTTTCCATGTTGTGCCATCTTCATTTACCTATTCAATTAAAATCCAGTGAAGTACTGGGCAGAGTGAAGGAAGGACTTGGGCTTTTCTGAGCTATCCCTGTGTCTGATAACAACCCCAAAGTATTCACAAACTTGATGTCATATTTTACTCCAAGATGAGCTTCTGACCACATATTCACACCATCGCAGAGATCACCTATTTTTACCACTGTCATACCATCCAACTGCTCAGCTCTTTTGCTGTTCAAACCTTTGTCCATGACTTTGTTATCACTGAAAATCATCCAAACTCTGCTCCCTAACTCATATAAGCTATTAGGAGCAAATTACTGCAGACGCTCGACTGTACTGAAAACAACAAATGCTAGAGATTTCAGCGGGTCAGACTGCATTCATAGAGAGAGAAAGCTAACGACTCTTCATCAGCTCTTTATGTAAGCTACTGTTTCATTTACTACCCCTGTGTTGACATTTTCACATTCCTCCATGTATCACTTCTCCCTAGCTTCGTATTCTCTTCCAGTCACCATTCCCCCACCACATAATTGACTGAAGATTTGACCATGTGTCCTAATGTAACTTCAATACCAAATTTTGTTTTAAATGCTCCCCATAAGATGATTTGCGATGTTGTATTCCATCAGAGTGCATGGTATTATTCTTCATTTACCCACACATTCCTGAAAATATCGCTTTAAAGCATCTGAGTTTTGGCGGTATTTTCCTGTTGTAGCACTAATCTTCGTGTTCCAAATACTAATCTGCTCACGTTATCAGGACTGCAATGCAGCAATATTTTTGTGCAGTGATGCTTTTTTGATGTTGAGCTACCATAATATTTAAAGCACTGGCTATCTTTGTCTCCATGGTTCAATTGATTTTTTTACTCTGTGATAGGAGGAGATTACACTTCAAAAGTATTTTGTTGAGATGTACTCAGATAATATAAAATGCAGTATAAATGTTATGTTTTTTCAAAACTGGCTTCCCAGGTAAGTTCAGCTGAGCTGCCTCTCCCACAGTCTCACAAAAGTACAATATATGTTTAGGTAGCGTATGGGCTTCTTGTAGTTCCTCTGCACTCTATTTCTTATGTGACAGATTTAAACATTGTCATTGCAAGATGGATTCTACATCATTCCTTTAGTGTTGACTGAGAATATGGTTTAAGGGATTTTGACACAAATTTACCTGAACCACAGGCAATTTTATAACAAAGCCTTGGTAAACCAACCTCTTCACTTCTGCAGCTGTGTGCTTTAGATTGTCATATGAACAACAAATTTCAGACATCAGTCTGTAGAGCCAGGAAAAAGTAAATCTTCCAGTAACCTGGGTCAGTATTTAACTCTCAACCAACATCATTAATAAGCCAATTATTTGGTTAAAATTTCATTTTAAAAAAAAAACTCAGTATTGTAAATGACTCCATGATAGTTCTCAATTTTTTAAATGACACGGAGCTGTCCTAATTGGGTTTGCATTTCTATGGTGTACAGTCTCACCTGGAGATCATGACTACTCCATTCCATTTTTAAAACTTGACACGTACTATATATAATTTGTATCAAAACAGGGGTGATTAGGTTAACGACATATGTGTCTGTTTCTATATCAGAGCCATGCAAATGGGAAGCAAAATCAATCAGCAAGCTGTGAGCATGTGAGCATAGCCCTACATTGAGTTAACTGCTCATCACTCCCTCAAGTTATTGCCATTCAGCTTCCTGCTGTCAGGTTTCAAATGTGTCTGTTATACTGTGAGCCATATTTGGCAGTATCCATGAAATTTACCTGCCTACTTTGTTTTTCTGGTCACTGATGTTTAAAATTGAGAGTGTAAAAACCCCATTGCTACCTTGAACATTAGGCTGAGAGCTTGACCCTCATCTGTGGCCAATGATGTCTCCTGGTCTTTAGATGCAGATAGTCAAACCCTCTGGCAGCACTGATGCAAAGTTCATGACTTCGCACGTATTTACATGACCTTTCTGTGGACAGTGTTGCGCACGTAGTCAGGTATAATATTGATTGATATTAATTGCCTTTTATAAAACATATTCAATTACCTAAGAAAGTTTGGTTGAGCTCAAACTCCTGACTTGTGTACTGTACCAAAAGCTACAAAAAAACTCTTGTATTAAGTTATATGGGTCTCTAAAAATTTCATACAAAGTAGTAAGTCCTCAAAACATCTTGTCCATTAGTAAAGGAGTTGATGAATGCTAAATCAGGTTTTTCATGCAATAAAATGTTGTTTTAGGTCCAGGTGTTAGGAATTGAATGGATAACCTGTTGAAAGATAATTCACCAGCAGTTGCTAAATGGTTTGCATCAATCCATACGTGTTCCACCCAAACAAGTGATGCTTTTGTCAGAAGGCACAGTGGATTTGTAAAAACCGTAATAAATGTGTTCCTTGGATGAAGTTCATAAGCATCGCATCATGAACTTTTTGCAAAGCAAATGCGCCAGTTTATCATGTTTTTCCACCTTGATTGCCAGTTGTAGTCATGCTGCTTTTCCACCATACCGTGCGTACATCCAACTGTTTGCAGCGTAATTGCTTTAACTATACTTCATATAGACTTTGCTGCTTAAAACGCTGCAATGAACTTCATTTGCCCTTACAGTTTGATCCTGTTGTAATTTCTGCTGTTAGCATTTGAGTTTTCTCAAATAATTATAGTTCTTTAGTCACAATTCTCAGCTTATCAAACTGTAGTTGTCATTTATTCTCACATTTTCTTAAACATGGTAGTTCAACTTTTAAGATTTGTTTGTTAAATTCTAGTATTTGGAAGATATAAAGTAAAGGCTTTGAGTTTTTGAATTTGTTCCAAATGAGACAAATTTTGACAACCTTTCTAATGATTTAGTAATTTGTACCTTGAAATCTTCCTCACTAGCCGTTTATTATATATTTAAAAATGTAGTAACTCTTATTGAAAATCTTATTTGTTTCTAGGGTTCAAAGATGCTGACTAGGAAGATAAAGCTGTGGGATATTAATGCTCACATCACATGTCGACTTTGCAATGGATATTTGATTGATGCTACCACAGTTACAGAGTGCCTACATACCTGTACGTACCAGAATCAAAATTTCAAGGTTTGACTAATTAGTTAATGATACTTAATTCACAGGTATGAATTTGATTATCCTCTTGAAATTATTGCTAGTTACAGTCACTGATCAACTAATCTATAATCTTGATAAATGGAACTGTTACCTTTCTACAATAGAAATTGGAGTCTTCGTGTCCATGACTGGAACAACTGAGAACCTATAAGAAGTACGTGTTTTTACAAAACTTAGAAAAAATTCTCTGACTGCTGGTTTTGCAATGAGGTGGCGAACCTTTCTGTCCTTGTGAAATATTAAAATGTCTTCCTCTGCCTAGATATGGCAGCTGTTTATACTTCATACTTGAATGCCACCCTGGCCACTTGAATAACCTCCTGATACAACATGACAGGCCAACTCTCTCACTGATCACCTGGCTATAACTTCAAAACACACAACCACCTTGGTCTCCTCCCATCTCCCCTCTCTTTAACTCACTTTCACCACCCCCTCTTTCTGTTGGCCTTCCCTGTTGCTCTCCCCCTGTCTTGTACCCAGCCACTTTCTCTTTCTCCATCCCCACCCCGCAAACTGCATTTCTACTTTTATCTCCCTCCGAAACCCCATGTCTGACTTCTTTCTGTTTCTCTCTCTCTTTCTGTCACAAAATCTCTTAAGAACCTCACCTGAATGAATACAGCTGCTGAGAAATGGAATTGTGTTCTCTCCTTCTGAACCTATTTGTGCCCAATAGTCTTTCTTTGGAGATTATGCACTGATTCATGGATGCTTCAGCCACGTTAGCAAAGTACAGTTGCATAATGAGCACAGAATGATCAGGTCATAATAATGTTTCTGGACAGGATCAATGAACACAGCAATATGCAGATCTGCACATTTGGGGGCATCAGTGTACAAAAGATATTAAAAAGTGTAACATCAGTTCCAAACATAACCACTAGATGGTGGTGCTGTTCTCCATTACTCTGATAGAGCTGGTGAAAACCACTTGGGAAAGTTAGCTTTAGTTTTCAGTCATGATGATCCAACTCTGTGTTGTGCAAGTAGTACTGTTTGATTTTCTAAGCTCAGTTGTCTTTATTTTGTGCAGAAAAGCTGCATTGACTTTGACCTTGGAACAATACTGTATGTCCTTGGGTAAAAGTTGGAATTTTGAGTTCAAAGTTTTATGCAAAAAAGTAGGATGTCAACATATAAATGAGTAATCCTTTGAGGAGTTGAAATTCATGCATGTTCTTGGGTAGAGCAGTGCACTTTGAGACTATGATTTTAATTCTGCCTTGCCCTGGGGCAAGGAGAGTGAGTATGTCCTGATTGGCGCCACTTTGCAGCAGCCTGTCGTGCTTGAAGACTCTTTCCAGCTTACTTGCTGCTTTCTTACTCAGCTGCAACACCTATCAATTGCTTCCTTCCTCTTGCCGCCTCCTTTCCTGAGCTCCTGTTCACAGCGACAGCATGGGAGAGAAAGCCATGAGCAGAAGGATAGAGATAATCAGCTTGGGAGAGAGGCAACTGATGATTATCAAGCGAAAAGAGTTAGGATTATTTGGCCATGTGTTGGAGGATCAGTTTAAATGTGAAATATATGGAAAATTGACCAAAATTAGATTTTATGGGCAAAAGTCAGTGTTGACTTATATAGGTGAACCATTACATCAGTATAGACAGTAACGTGCGCTTTATAATGAAGACACTGTCGGTACCAGTTGCAGAGAGTAATGTCAATTGACATTTATGGTGTAACTATTACAGAACTGTTTGAAGTTTTTCACTCTGGAGCTTAGTTTCCATTTGATGTTTCTTGAAGAAAATGTAAGTCATTGTTTCTTACCATCAAGTTTGCAAGTTGAATGGGTTACAATCTGTTTGCTGCTAAAGATGAGGGTGCTTTACTGGTGACTTTATTTGGAGGTCTGTATCGTAGCTAATTTATAAAAGGAGAATTGGAATGGTGTCTGAGATTTATTTAGATGAGAATGTTGGCCAATTTGAGTGCAATATATACATGTTCCCGGATCAACTTGATCAGAGATGTTATATCACATCACTGGAGCAGCTGTGATTTGAACCCAGGCCTCCTTGTCCAGAGATAGAGACACTACCACTATGCACCAAGAACTCTATGTACGGTATACAAAATAACGAATAGATTAATAAGCACGTGTTACCTGTAATTTTCTTATTCATTTGGGCCGCTGTTGGTTAGGCCAGCATTTATTATCCATGGGGGCAATTAAGAGTCAACCACATTGCTGTGGGTCCCGAGTCAGATCAGATAAGGATGGCAGTTTGCTTCCTGAAAGGACATTAGTGAACGAGATGGGTTTTTCCAACAATCAACAAGGGATTGATGGTTATTATTGGCTTTTAATTCAAGTCAAATTCCACCATCTGTCATGGTGGAATTTGAACCTGGGTCCTCATAACATTATCTGGATCTCTGGATTAACAGTCCAGTGATAATACCACTCGGCTGTCATCTCCCCAAATTATCTTGTGTATTAATCTTTTGTGCGACACTGTATCAAATGTGTTCATGGAATCCAGATATACAACATCTACAGGATCTCCATTGTCTATGTTGTTTGTTACATCTTCAAAGAACTCCAATTTAAAATAAAAAAGTGGTGTTCAAAAACTGACTACCATGCAAACACTGGTGACTGTTGGAAGTTCCCTAATATTCTGTAAGTGAGAAAAATCTGCCATCCTCACCTGGTCTGGCCTACATGTGACTCCAGACCCACAGCAATTTAGTTGACTCTGAACTGCCCTCTGGGCAATTAGGAATGGGCAATAATTGCTAGCCCTAGCCAGTGATGCCCTCATCCCTTGAATGAATTTTAAGAAAAATCAAACAGGGATTAGGGTAACTTGTTAGTTTGGATAGGGGATAAAGCAAAACATCAGGATAAATGGGTGTTTTCTTGGTTGACAAAATGTAACCAACATGGTGCTACAGGGCTCAGTCTCAGACTTAACTATTTACAACCTATATTAATGACTGGGATGCAGCAAAAAAAAGTACTCGAGCCAACTTTGTGGGTGGCACTAAAGTAGGTGGGAAAGTAAGTGGCAATAAAAAAATAAGAAATTTATAAATGGATTTGGACAGATAAGTGAATGGACCAAAATTTGGCAGATGACGTTTGATGTGGCTAACTGTGCGGTTATCCAATCTGGTCGCAGGAATAGAAAGGCAACTTTTACATGGAGAGAAACTTCGGAGTGCTTCGATGCAGAGGGATATGGGTGTCCTTGTGCAGGAATCGCAGAAAGCCAGTATTGAGGTACAGCAGGCAGTAAGGAAGGCAAATAGAATTCCGATGTTTGTTGCTAAAGGAACAGAGTATAAAAATAGAGAAATGTTTCTGCAACTGTATAAGACATGAGTGAGACTGCCCCTGGAGTGTTGCACACAGTTTTGATCCCCTTACTCGAAGAAGGACATAGTTGCATTGAAGCTAGTTTAGAGGAGCTTCACTAGATTGATTCCAGAGATGAGAGATTTGTCTTAGGAAGAGACGTTGAGCAGTTTAGGTCTATACTGTCGAATTTAGAAGGATGAGAGATCTAATTGAGGTTTAGAAGATGCTAAAGAGGATTGACAAAGTGGTTGTAGAAAGTATGTTTCCTGATGTGGTGCCATCAAGAATGAGAGGTTATAGTTTAAGAGGTAGCAGCTATAAAATAGAAGAGGGGGAAACACTTTTCTCAAAGGGTTGTGGATCTGGCGAATTCACTACCCAAGAGTGTGGTGGATGCTGAGTCAATTTAAGGTCAAGAGACTCAAATTTTTAAGTAGTAATGTGTTGAAGAATTATAGAGAGCAGGCAGGAGATTGGATTTTAGGCTGAGACGAGATCAGCCAGGATGGATTGTCAATGCAAAATTGCCCATAACATCCAGGGATATGCAGGTTAGGTAGATTAGCCATGGGAAAATGCAGGGTTACAGGAATAAGTTAGGGGGGTGGGTCTGTGTGGGATGCTCTATGGAAGGTCAATGTGGATTTGATGGGCCAAATGGTCAGCTTCCGCACTATAGGGATTCTATGATTCTAAGATTCCATGTCTGAGCAAGAAGAGTAAATAACAAAGTGGCAGAAACTTTACAGCAGCAAGGTGGGGAGAATACCTAAACGAACACAGAACTAACTGTCAGCAAGGCAGAGAAAGAAGGCATTGAAATGAATACATTAGAGAGGATATTGAATTTCTTCTATTCATTCTGCATTTATTGATCATCTGTAATTTCCCTTGAGAAAATGGTGCTGAGCTGCTGCAGTGAACTAAAGTCTATTTGACAGGAGTACGTAAACAGTGCTGTTGGTGAGGGAGTTTCAGGATTTTGACCCAGTGACAGCAAAAGAATAGTGGTATAATTAATGAGGAACTTGCAGTTTAAAGTGTTCCCATGCCCTTGTCCTTCTAGATTACAGACATTGTGAGTTCGAAAGGTGCTATTGAAGGAGTCTTTGTGAGTTTGTGCAGTGCATTGTTCTGCACTGGTGGTGAAAGGAGTGCATATAGGTGGTGGTGGTGGGTGGGGTGCCAGTCAAGTGGGGTGCTTTGTTCTGTATGGTGTTGTGGTTGGGTGTTGTTGAAGCTGTACCCAGCCAGATGAAGTGGAGAGTATTCCATCACATCCCTGAATTGTTTTTTGATGGGTAGACACTAGGGAGACTGGAGTGGAGTTGCTCCCGAATTCCCAGCTTTCAATCTGCTCTTGTAGCCAAACTACCTACGGCCAGTACAGTTCACGTCCTGATCAGTTGTAACCACAGGATATTAATGTGATTGAACACCAGAGAGTGATGTGTTGTGAAGAAATCTCTGATCAGACTCAAAGCGTTAACTTTTTCTCCCACTGCAAATGCTGCCAGACTTGCTGACTTTCTCAAGCACTTTGTTTTTGTATCAAGGAGCGATGGTTAGATTATCTCTTGTTACAGGTGTCATTGCCTCGCACTTGCGTGGTGCAGATGTTAATTGCTACTAATCAGGCCAAACCTGGATATTGTC